TGTCCGCCCCCCAGGGAGGAGGTCACATGTAGTTCCTTGTAATCGGTTCTCAGGAGATCTTTTGGTTTAAGTTTTGCTCTAGAGTGTTTTCAGGGGCTATTATCATAATTTTCTTTTTGAATTACATCACCAAAACTTCCTGCTGATGCACCTCTGGGTGGGCTTGACTCTCTAACTTTAAGGTTAACCGCCAGAATGTGCAGCTGTTTGCCCCACATAGGGACTTTAGCACACAATAAAGGCTCAAAAAAAAGCCAGTTATCATTTATGACTGGAGTCCATAGTAGATCTTCGCCACTTTAAGTTTCATGCCCTAATTAATCCCTATGACATGTCCCTGCTGGTTTCTGTCGCTGCACTATTGCACCATTGAGCAGGGGCAGAGTCCGTGCCTTTGTAACTGGACATGAAGGCCCTAGTGGAGAACATGGAGCACTTTGTGAGAGGGATGGATGAATGGATGAATAGTGAGAACGCTCTCAGTGAAGACATGTTTACTCAAAATCTTTCTTTTTATTCTCTCTGTGACTCAGATGCTTACATTGGAATTCCTTAGCCCTCCCTCCTTTCCCAGCCCTTGGCACTCATGTGCCCCACAAGCCAACCATTTATCTTACTGCTTTCAGCCCGTTGGTAGGAGCTCTCCCTGATCTGTTAGGTGTGGATTCCCCAGGCTCTTCAAAAGCACAGGGTTACAGTCTTACAGCATCTGAGCTGGAGCGATGGACCGTGGGATGCTGGTCCAGTGATTAGCATACAGAAAGTGACTTTCCTCCTCTTCCCACTTGTTCTGCTTCTCCCTGTAGGACCAGATTGGGAAGCGACTGGGACGAATTTGAGGGCTTATAAGATCTTTGTTGATACCTTCTGTTTGGGACACTGTCTGTTCCCACTGGTTCCACAAAGCAGGACTTCACGAGGCTCATGGAAGATAGAAGATTCTGTGTTCTAAGCAGTGCCGGCCTCCTCTGTATTCTGTTGGGACTTAGGAGGTCACAGTGACTATGGGTGGGAATTAGCTCGGTGTCAGGGAGGTCCCTTGTCTTAACAACAAGATGTCTTGAATTTAGCCAAATCATTTTGCTTTAAAACAAATGAATCAGCCCACTGTGGCCACTGTGCCATTCCATCGCCTTGAGGTTCTTCTTCTTTTCTGCCGATTCTCTACCAAACATGATCTCCTTTTCCAGGAAATGATGATAACAGATCTCAAGTACAGGAGATAATGTCTCTCTGTCCTTGATGCTGAGACATCTTCTGGCTCCACTTCTTCCAAGACAGATTTGTTTGTTCTTCTGGCAGTCCACGGAATATTCAATGTTCTTTGCCAACACCATCATTTACTAGGGTCGATTCTTCTCCATCCCCTGTAATCACTGCCCAGATTTCAAATGCATATGAGAAAATACCATGGCTGGGTTCAGGTGCACCTTTGTCCTCAAAGTGACATCTTGACTCTTTAACACTTCTGACTTGGGCTGTTAAAACTAGGAGAGCGTTCTCATCAGCAACTAGAGCTGACCAGACCTCCAGAATCTGCCTGTTGGGTGGTTTTCACATCAGCTTCCGTCTTAACGATTGAAGACCTCGGAGCCTCCTCTTTCCCCTCAGGTCCAAGGCCACGTAGGTGCTTCTTCCACTTGGCCAGGCAGTGGTGGGCGGAGGAGCGGACTTCCCCGCTCCGCAGGGCATAGATAACAGGGTTGACCAGTGAGTTGACAAGGCACAGAATGGAGCAAAAGGCAAAGATTTTTTTGACCTGGTCACTTAACTTGGTGGTCAGGCTGTAGACAATGAGGGCTAGTACTGGGAACCAGCAAATGAGCAGCACAGCCAGCACCACCCCTAGGGTCTTGGCCAATCTCACATCCAGCCTTATTCGGGCCATTCCTGGAAACTGCTGGTCCTGGTGCTCGGCCAAACTAGCTACATGCTGATGGGCCTTCCAGAGAACGTGTCCATAGATATAGATGATGCCAGAGAAGAGGGAGAAAATAAACAGGAGCCAACCCAGCAGATAGTTATTGGGGACAAATGGGAAAAGGTCAGAACAGTGACTGGGACAGCAAGTCCATCCCATGAGAGGGAGGTAGGAAATCAATGCCGAGAAGACCCACATGATGCCCAGGGCCACCAGTGCTCTTCTGTGGGTGAGTAGAATTTTGTATGCAGGTGGATAGTGCAGGCAAAGGTAACGGTCAATGGCGGTGAGTAGCAGGCTGCCTACAGAGGCTGTAAAAGCCAAGGTCACACTGCCTATCTTCAGCAAAAAAATCGTGTTGGAATCCATGCCATGGAAAACGTGGAAATTCACAAAGCTACAGGCAAAAACCACACTAGCTAGCAAGTCAGCCCCAGCCAAGCTACCAAAGAATAGGCATGAGGGCTTCCTACGGAGCCTGTGGGAAGACAGGATCAGGTAGAGCACAGTTAGGTTTTCCAGGGCACACAGCAGGCCCAGCAGGGTGCATAGTACCATGATGACTATTCTTTGGGGAGCGTTCAGGATCATGTATTTCTTCATGAAGCTGAGATTCAAGTCATCCGCAGAGATGCTCGCGTTCTCTGGGCATTTCTCCATGAGGTGGGTCCCGCAGCTTCAGCTGGGCTAGCCAAGGAGCCTTTGCTGCAGTACCATGGAAAGAAGAAGAGAGTCTTTTTCAATCTATACAGCAAAGACCTCACACAATATCTCATTCTACTCCAATATTTACTTGAGTGGATAGACCACATATTGACATACCATTGTATATATTGTTCCCCTGTTTTTTGGCCTCTGTCCATTCAAGAGGGCTGCTTAAGTATATTGAGGGCAAAGCTTTTCAAATTGCTGACCAGTGGTCAGAACTCAGTGGATGCTGAATGTATGTGGTGGCTCACAATGGATTTAGGGCCCCAAATGTAAACTGAAGCCTTCGGCTCAGAATTTAAGCTCTAGCACACTCCCTCCTCTGATCATGGATTTTATTAAAAATCTTTTGATAACACTTAGGATGGCGTGCTTTTCTCCTTTTGTTTTCCATGCCCTATTTAAATAGCCCCGTGGGAAACCTTTGGATATCATTATGGCCTCAGGCTTATGGTTTCCCGCGTCTGGTGGAATCAGTTTTTATCTTGTCTTTGTCCTGCTTAAGGCTTCACAGAGGGGTCTCTATAAAGTATAAACCTCTCCAGAGAACAAAATTCACTGCCATCAAGTTGATGCCAACTCAGCAACCCAATAGGACAGGATAGAAATGCCCTGTGAGTTTCTGAGACTGTTACTCTTTATGGAAGTAGAAAGCCTCATCTTTCTCCCCAGGAGCAGCTTGTGCTTTTGAACTGCTGATTTTGTGGCTAGCCACCCAATGCATAACCACAGCACCACCAGGGCTCCTCAACATGTCCTCGGTACATGCATTTGAGGTGACTGAAAATATCATGGCTTGGGTCAGATGCACATTAGTCCTCCAAGTGATAACTTGCTCTTCAACAGTTTAAAGAGGTCTTGTGTAGTAGATTTGCCCAATGCAGTAACTTGTCTCATCTGTTGACTGCTGCTTGCTTGTAGATCCAAGCAAGATGACATTCTCAACAACTTCAATAGATGTTCCATTTATCGTGATGTTGTCCATCGGTCAAATTATGAGGATTTTGGCTTTCTTTGAGTTGCCATTCATACTGCAGGCTGCAGTCATTGATCTTCATCAGTAAGTGCTTCAAGTCCTCCTCACTTTCAACAAGCAAGGTTGTGTGGTTTGCAGAGGGGAAGTTGTTAATGAGCCTTCCTTCAATCCTGATGGCACTTTTTTCTTCATCTGGTCCATCTTCCAGGGTACTTACTTAGCATACAGATTGAATAAGTATGGTGAAAGGATAAAACCCCGATGTACACGTTTCCTGAGTTTTAAACCATACAGCATTCCCTGTTCTCTTTCTTTCTTTTAATCATTTCACTGGGGGCTCATACAACTCATCACAATCCACACATCCATCCATTGTGTCAAGCACATTTATACATTTGTTGCCATCATCATTCTCAAAACATTTGCTTTCTACTTGAGCCCTTGGTATCAGCTCTTCATTTCTTCCCCTCCCTCTCCGCTTCCCCTCCCTCATGAACCCTTGATAATAAATTATTATTATTATGTCATGTCTTACACTGTCCGACGTCTCTCTTCACCCACTTTTCTGTTGTCTATCCCCCAGGGAGGAGGTTATATGTAGATCCTTGTAAT